GCAAGCCCCTCCCAAAAGAAAATAATAACTTGACCCCATCTGCTCTTGAACCGACAGCCGAGACAAGCCAAAGCGAATTAATCCTGAGTCGTACAACCTGAACCCTGAATTCCCTGAAACCCCGAACCCTGAAACAATGAAAACCTAATCCCTGCCGCTCCTCTGCATCTTCCAGGCGTATCTTGAGCTCTTGCCTCGGATCTTCAGCTTCCTAGAATTTAGGCTTCCTAAACCCGAAACCCTAGAGGGTTTAGGGCTCCTAAACCCCAAACCCTAAAGCCCTGAAGGCCTTAAGGGTTCAGATTTATGGGTGTCAGGCTCAGGATTCGGAGGACTCCTACAATCGGAAAGGGCGCGTCTGAGTCAGGAGGCGCGCAACGAGTTTAGGCTTTAGAGTCCTCACTACTCACGGCTTGATCGATTACCGGCTCTGTCTCTTCTGGTGATCAGTTGTTTCCGGGAAATCTGTTGGAACAGTTCGATCAAGTGCTCCGGCGGGCCTTGAGAACTCCCTGAAGGCAGGTTGAGAACTCTACAAACCTCATCAACCCGCACAACATCCATACCCTACCCTGCCCCCTAAACTCCAAAACCTAAAACCTGGGCCAATTACGATCTGCCTGAAAATTGTTGTTACACAAGGTCCTCCTGAACCCTACACCCTATACTATAAACAGCACACCCTGAACCCTGAAACCCGTACTTGGCTCGAAAACACAACAAGACAGCCAGGCTGGGTACTCGCGAGAGGCAGCTCGGAGACCTTCGGCCTCAGATGCTTGCACGATACGTTCTCACATGATGCATGGAATGCCACACACAAGCGCATGAAATATAAAACAGATGATAGACACGTCAACGGTAGGAGCAGAACGTGTCTTCCTGATTTAGGGATGGAGATTACCAAGAGCTGCAAATGTTTTGTTGAGGGTACCCGCGCCGACAATCTACCCTTGATTCTAGTTACTTGGTGATACAACTAAAGCACAGGCTTTGCCTTAACTCAGAGCCCACATATATCAAAGCCCTTGAGGCCCCTACAGCCCCAAACAGGAGGACTGGACATGCAAGTTCGAGCTTAGTTCTTGAATTCTGTTCGGAGTACTATAAAGCAAAGTCAAGTATAGTATAGTATAGGGGAGTATCGTAGAATATGCTAGGTGTTGGGGGCGTAGGATAACTCTATGGAGACTAATCCTGATTACCGATGCATGCGGCTCCTGGATCAATTAGGGAAAGTCCCTGATACAGGGGCCTTGATAATTCGAGAAGGGCTTTGGGGTTTTTAGGGTGTGAGCGGACTGAACGTCGGGGCGAGCAAAGAAAAGCAGAGTGACAGGTGCACCCTCTTGAACAAGAACCCTCGGAACAAATTAATCTCTAAGCTTGTCAACGATGACTTACAGATTGAATCATGGCACCGAATTCTTGGTGCCATTGATTTAAAGTAGCTACAGGAATGTCATGCTGAGTAGGACATCTACGGGCAATATTTCTAGGTTCTGAAGAAAGACGACGAAGCTTAGCGTAATTCACACAGGGCTCCTCAGAGCTCCAACGCGGTGCAAGATTGTGAGAACTAAAGGATTCTTCTATCAGTTGTTTCTGCCGAAATTGTTCAAGATGATGAGAACGCTGAGGCTTAATGCCTGCTTTGAAGCGACGAATTGGCCCGAATTGAGGCGGTAGCAATGCACGAATGTCAGCAGCTGACATGTTTTCCTCATGATTCCAAGGCATGATGTGTGACACAAGAAAGTTTGGAAAAACTGATATTGGCAGCGTCATTTTTCAATCGCAGATTTGCTGTAACCAGGGAAAAGGCCTACCTTTGCATCTAAACCGCGGAAGAGGCCAACCTGCAGATAAAGGTGTAATTAGTCCTAAGAATGTTACTACGCAAGCACCCGTATCGTATAAGGTGGCAGGGGTGATACGCAAGACTTGCGAATTCAAACTGTTTCCGCCAGGCGCGTGTCAATACGAATTGCTGCGCTGAGGCCTGAGTTAAGTCCCACCGCGGGGGGAATGAAAAAAAAACAGAATCTCCGGGAAAGCAGTTTCACTCGGGAAAGGTTCAAGCCATCTTTCTTGAACATCGTTGGATCTAGACATGCAGCATAAATCCGAGTTTTGGTGTGTCTCAAACAAGAAAGAAGACAGAACTCCCAACTTGTAAGAACGATACCCACAAACTGACACTGTGGCAGGAAATTGGCGCAAGCGCCACCATGCTGTACAAAAAGTGCGAGTGCATGTGTCCGGGTGAATATTCTGACAGATGAGTCACTGCATTGTTGTGTCCATGTTGTCCAACAGGGAAGGAGCGAAGCAAAGTCTTGAGGGGTACTACCCCATTTGCTCCATTCAGTGCATGTGCGAGGCGGATCCCACTGCAGCGGTAAAGCATATGAGAAGCACAACTCACAAGTCTGACGGCTAGGGCGATCAGGGTTTTGGGGCTAATTATGGTATAGTGAAAAAGGACACCCAAGAAATAACATTGCTTCAAAACAACTCAGAAAATTGGAGGATGATTGTCAGCTGGCCGAGATTTTATGACAGGTTCGCATGCGACCTAAGTTGTCCAGCGGGCTGGATGGGATGATAGCGACCATACAGATTCACTGATTACATTCTGGCCTCCAGGTCGCATGCTTTTAAATTTTTTGGTTCTCAGATTCATCAGGTTGTTTGCGGCGCATGGCTTATCCCACCGGTGTTCGGGTTCAAAAACTTGTTTTTACATCGCCGTTGAAACGCCGAGAGTGTAGTCAACTCTCGTCTTGAAGTCTGGGATTTCAAGGGCCAGATTGCACTTGTCTGGACCCTGAATCGCGCTCCAGCATCCGATACAGAACCCCCTCGCAATCACTAAGACCAGAGCCGGCACCCCGAAGCTGCTGAGGCCCAAGCGCGATAGGCCTCCTCGATTTTCAAGCCTTGCCAGCGAAATCTGGGGTGGGGCCGGAGGGTTGGAGTTTAGGCCTTAATGCGGGGGTTTGGTGTTACAGACGGGGGTGGCTAGTCTTAAAAGGACTTCGAGTCGGATTTGGAATACTGGCTAACCTAGACTCCGGAGAGTCAGAGGCTACGACGCCAAACCTTGTGCACTCTAAGGCGGCCCGTTGTCGGGAAGTGAGCCTATACGAGACCATGGACAGAAGAACTCCTTGTCGACTATGCTCTAAGGGTTTTAGGGATAGACTAGGGTTTAGGGCTTCAGGGTTGACCTCACACTCCGTTTGCCAGTCGCGTTGCCATATCGTTACGTGGCCAAAACACATTCTTTGCATCATGCCCTGTGGAAATGCAGACATGCATTAGAAAACGAAGCTAAACAGACCATACCCGAGCCCATCCCGAAGCCCTTAGATGCGCACCCCAACCCGAGAACCCTAAACTCCAAATCCCAACCTTCACCGAGCCCTTAGCCCCAAAACACCATACCGCAAACGATCCTGCAATCAGACCGCCTTCCAGAAGCAGGAAACAATAAATGGATTGAGGGTTGAAGGATGTTTAAGGTTTCGGGTGTAGGATTTTCGGGTTTGTCAGGGTCTCTACGGCCTATATGACGCAGCATGGGCTTAACGTCAAGCCCCAGAAATAGGGTGCCACTATTTGGTTTTGGTGAGGGAAGCCAAAGAAAAAAAGGACAAAAGGGCACACTACTGTAGGATTCTGATTAAGCAACCTTGGCCCTACAGCCCCAAACTATTAGGATCCATATAAAAAAGCCCCAATTAAAAAACAAAAAAGACCCAAGGTTTCTTAATCAGGCTCCTATATTCATATTAGAACCACAGTTAACAATAACAACAATAATAATTAATATTATCATAATAAATAATAATAATAGTAGTAATAATAAGAAGAAGAATAATAATAATAGTAGTAATAGTAATAATACTAATAATAGTAATAATAAAAACAATAACAAGAAGACTCATAGGACCCTGAATCAACGTCATTCCTGGGGCTCTTGCGCGCCACTTCGGCGGCCTCGGCCTGGCGACACTCAAAAAGGAGCTTCTTTGCGGCTTATAGGGTTTACAGGGGTTTTTTCTCATAGGGTTTACAGGGTTTTTTTCGGAGTTTCTATAAATAAGGCTTAGGGGTTTATAGGGCTTAGAAGGCTTTTGGGGTTTATAGGAGTTTATGGAGCTTATAGGGTTAAGTAGGGCTTAGAGGAGTTTCTAGAAGGCTTATAGGGTTTATAGGGCTTATAGGAGTTTCCTATAGGGCGTATAGGGTTTATAGGGCTTATAAAAGTTTCTAGGGCTTGAGGGTTTAGCGCTTATGGGGCTTATGGGGCTTAGAGGGTTTATAGGGCTGATAGGAGCTTCTAGGCCGAGTAGGGTTTATGGGGTTTTGTAGGACTTTTTGGAGTTTCTATAGGGCTTGAGGGTTTAGGGCTTATAGGACTTATGGGGCTTATAGGGGGGTTTCAAGGGCTTATAGGGTTTAGGGGGCTTATACGGTTTATAACGTTTGTGGGTTTAGGGTTTATAGGGTTCCGGGTTCGGAATTTCATTTATGCGTCTTATGAGCGACAGCGGCAACAACACCAACGGCCAGTGCCAGACATTAAAGACTTAAACCTGCATCTAAATCATCTACTTCTGCCGCCAGCCTTGACACCACCATAGCTGATGCGCACATGATGACTGTTCTGGTTCCGCTGAAACACAACACGAGGACGAGGAGGGTGCTGACTTCAGACTTTTCGGGAGTATGAAATGACATTCGAAGCCGCCGAGGATTTTAGTTTCCCGCTGTAGCCACGAATTACTTGCCATGGCCCCGTTCACTTAGATGCCGTGGATGACTGCGGCTTCGTCGACGCCGTGAAGCCGCTGACCATCGTGGAGCCTTTACCCTAATCCGAGTGTAAAGCACACCTCCATGGTTTGAAGCTGCCGAAACCTCAGCTTTAGCAGCTTTAGGCCCCATTTATGCCTGTAGACCTCATGGATTTCCGGCCTTGAGCAGCATGTCTAAGTCGTGAGACACCATCCTTGGTCGTCATGTGCGGCTCTCGATGCCAAACAGGGGTTCTTGGCGAGGAGCAATCGTACGACTTCAGCATGACTGTGCATTGAGGACATCGTCAGCGCTGTCTCGCCGTTCTTGTTGCACAGATCAGTTTGAGCGCTGGCCTTGAGGAGCAACCGAACGATGGGAGCATGACCCTCCTCTGCTGCGTAGATCAGTGCCGTACTGCCCCAGTTGTCACGCATGTCCCTTTCAGCACCTGCCTTCAGCAGCAGTTGCACCGCTCGATCATGACCGCACCATGCTGCACACATGAGTGCTGTCTTGCCCTCACGGTCGCAGAGATCCTTCCGAGCACCGGCCTCCACGAGCAACTCCACAACTTGAGCATGACCCCCCCGTGCCCCGGCGACCAGCGCAGGGACGCCACGACTGATCTCCAATACAGCCCCTTTGGAATTTTGGATGCTCATCAATGGCATCGAAGCATCTGGGTCCACCGGGAGCTGCAACAAAGTTTCGACCTTCTATCTTGAGAACGCATGGGTTGCGTGCTTCTGAAGTTGTACGTCTACGTACCTAAAAAGGGGTTCCGAGGTTTAAAACTTGCGGCAGAGCAATTGCAACAGATGCAGGATTTCTGGAGATACGGTTGATCGGTTGCATACCCTGCCTCGGCCAGCTGGCCACGGGCTGCCGCTTCGCATAGCTCGATGGAAGACTGGTCATCCAAGCGACTTTCGGGGAAAGGCACTATCAAGACCTGCAGATCCATCGGTGTATCCAGCTTGACGGCATCGTCCAAAATGTTGCCACCCTGAAGAAGCCTTTGCCTGAAACGTGGCGGCAGGCCGTGCTGCTGATGCAGTCGCTGCTTCACTTCCCGGACGTCGCTCAGCTCCGTGAAAGGCAGGTAACTCCCCGGAAAGTTGAGTGATGCGCAGCATTGCTGGCCAAGTTGCACGGCACGGAACTGACTGGAACAGTTTGGGACGGGCGCTTTGTAAGGCTTCTTCCAAAGTGGTGTAAGGGTTGCTTGTAGAGTTTACCAGATTTTTTCATGGCTTTTGCAAGATTTCCCAACTCACTGTTGAAGCGAAGACTACCGCTGAAATGCTTGAAGCACGAAGGGCTTCGCAGCAAGGCTCAAGCAAGATGATTCATACTTGCAGAGTTTTGCAGCTCTCCGTGTTGGGGCTTCAGGATGTCGAGGACTTTCGGGCCTTGGCCGGAAACCCTGAACACGCAAAGTTTAAACCCTCAAAACCCTAAACCCTAAAACCCTAAAGCCCCTGAGCCGTAAAAATACTAGAGTCATGGTCTAGGCGTAGGGCCTGATCAAGGTCTTGCTCCGTGCAGCTCTCGGCTGATGTGTTTCGACGATTAAGGTTTAGGGTTTGGGGTTTAGAGTGTGTATACAGTGTGCGCGCGGTGGGTGCGCCTTTTACTTTAGGAATAGGGGCGCACCACTCACGCCCTTGCGTCAGCATGTAGTCCCGCCCCAACCACCCCAACTTTTCTCAATTTGGGTTTAAGGCTCGCCCCGCAAACCCCCCTTTAAGGGGGCTTTCTTGCTCTTTGCCTCCTTTCGCAGTTCTGAATAAAGTGAGCGTTTCACAGCAAAACACAGCTGAGCTGGATTGGTGTCGGGTTGTGGGTCCTCTTGGCCCGCGCAGGCCGCTCGGCGAGAAACACAGGTCTCCAAGAAACAATTTGCCCCCACACCCTGTGATTCGCATCCAGTCCACCTATCCCTCAAGCCCCGCCGAGAAGGCCTGTGCCACTCTGACCAAAAGGCGTTTTTGCGCCAAATTTACCCCCGGAACTGGCCCACGAAGCCCCGGTCTTTAATCTGCTAGCCTGGGAGAGCCCTGCGAGGCCTTGGCATCCCCCAAAAACCCGCTGAGTCGCCTTTGTGAAGCAGACCAGAACTTATACACCCCCAGACCAACGGTGAGGGGTTTGGGGTCCATCTTTACCGCCCAACGCCAAATCATTGGCGGGGTGGTCCTCGTATACCGGGAGGCCTCACCTCTTTGACGAGACGCTCGGCCGGGGGCCTCGGTCGGAGCCTCGAGCGCCCATGCAAATGGTCGGCGCCGCTCTTTGGGGGTTATATGGTTAAGAGTAATAGTGCAGTCATGACACTCGAAAACGTGAGCCCTAAACGTAATCTGAATCTGAAGCGGGACCAGCTCTGAACAGCACCACTCCCCAAATCCAGGATGTCAATACCCCAGCATGCAAGACGCCTCGAAGCCTAGTATATACCTTAATTTGCAAATCCCCAAGACGAACAGACCGAAATAATCAGGATGCGAACGCTGCAAGTGACTCCAAAACAGCAGCTTGATCAATGTGACCATGACAACCAGTAATTGACCATCCAGGGTGCACCTAGACGGAAAACAACCAGGAAAACATGCCTTCCTTATGCTCCAACCCTGAGGAGCGTGGAGGCGGGTTACCATGACCAAATTCATCACCAGCGTCATCTTCATCGTCGCCATAGTAACCACATCATCCCACATAAACAGGAGTGCGACTGCCTCAGCTGCGTGAGCCGCCGCACGCTGCTCCGCCTCGATGCGGTCAGCGCCGGTCCTCAGGCGTTGTTCTCTCCTGCCTCCGTTGTTGCTTTTTGCCTCTTCCGTATGGCTTGGGCAGGGCCAGAAAATTTACCGCAGACTAAGGGAGGTCGAGGTGGAATTTTCAATGATTTGGGAATCATCCACATGATTATGATGCTGCTGCTGCTGCTGAGGAGGAGGAGGAAGTGCAGGATGATGATGAGGAGGATGCTGGTGGTGAACAAGAAGGTGATGATTATGACGGTGAAGGATGTGCCATCATCGTTGCTTTCCGTCGGTTATTTCCTTAAATCTTGGTGTTGCATATATATATATATATATACACACACACCCACATACATACGTACATATATATATACATACATATACACAGACATATACGTATAAACATACATATGTACGTATGCATGCCTGCATGCAAGTATGTATGTATGTATGTATGTATGTATGTATGTATGTATGTATGTATGAGTTATGAGTTATGAGTTATGAGTTATGAGTTATGAGTTATGAGTTATGAGTTCTGAGTTCTGAGTTCTGAGTTCTGAGTTATGAGTTATGAGTTATGAGTTATGAGTTATGAGCTAGGTAGAGGTCGAGGTAGAGGTAGAGGTAGAGGTAGAGGTAGAGATAGAGGTAGAGAGAGAGAGAGAGATATATATATATATATATATAGAGCGAGCCAACGGTCAGGCCCTTAGAGGCCAGGTTGGTGTAGGGTTTAGCCTTTCGGGGCACAACTGATAAGATTACTGGCGCTAAGGATCTACCTGAGAGGCCCCTCAACAGTAAACTTAGGGATCAAGGGATCAAGATATGTAGACTTGTTAAATTTGTTCTATCTTGGTCATCCCTTCGCCCTCATACTTCTCGGCTCCGTTTGTCCGAGAGGACATTTTGTCTTGGAGGGGTGGGGTGATGAGGGGGAACTGTGTGGGTTGCCGGGCTGCTTAGGCGATTCTGTCGGTTTTCTTGTGTCTCACATAGGCAGTCGGCTTTGGGAAAATCTACTTAGACCCGACTTGCACACAAGTGTCGTCTTGGGCTGCGGGTTACTTACTCTTTGCCAGGAAGATTCCCCATGTCATGCGCTGATGCAAAACCCCTACCTCAGACGTCAAGATCGTTGTTGGCTGTTTCAGCACTTCACACACCAGTTCTCAAGTACGCAGATTCGTGTGACTTACTTCAACCCTACCTCAAACCACAAATACCCAAAATGAATTTGAATAGGGATTACAGCGACGATAGCAGTAAGGAGTCAGGAGTATAAAGCAGAACTCGACCTAAGCCCGAAGCCTAAACCCTAAACCCTAAACCCTAAATGCCCAAAGCCTTGCAACCCTTGCCCGGGCGACCCGGCACTTTGTCCGCGAGCCGCTGCTCAGCTTCGTCCGCTCTTTTCGACGAAGCCTTTGCCTTGTCAGTTGTTTTTTGCTCTGCAAGGTAAGGGCTTTAATACTTAGAACAGGGTTTTGGGATTATATTGAAACTATAATTGTCATAAAAAGGAACACCCAAAAACCCTGTTCTAATTAGTGACGCCCCTGCTTTACAGGGTTTGTTTGTGCTTCAGGGCAGGAGGTTAAGGGTAGGGTTCTGTGAGGACTCAGGTTTGAAGGAAGGCGGCTTAAGGCTACGGGCCAAGGTTTAAGGTTTGGACTCCAATGTCGAGGGTGTAGGATGCAGTCAGTCATGCTCAGAGTGCCGGGGGGCTTTAAGGAGCTTAGCCAGTATCTTGAACATCGACCCCTAAAGTATCCTTAAGGTTTTTGCCGCTGTAACACCTATACCGGTTCCCCGGTGCCCCCGAGACTACTGCTACACTTTGCTGCAAACCCAAACCCCTGAGCCTCCAACCCACACCCCTGAACCCCCAGCGCAAACTCCCTATCTCCAAAACCCTGGAACCCAAATTAAAACCCCTACTCCCAAACCCCCTAGGATTACACCCCCTGTAGCATCCTTGAGCGGTCCTGAAATCGACATCCCAACCCCCGAAACCCTGAACCCGAGCCCACAACCCAAACCCCTAAACCCTGGATCCTGAACCCCAAGCCCCAAACCCAAAAACACCTCCCTAAACCCTAAACCCCAAACCCGAAACCGCGCCCAAGACCGATCCAAACCCTAAAACCCCAAACCCTAAACTTTAAACCCCTAAACCCCCAAACCCTAAACCCCCAACCCTAAACCCTAAACAAAGAATCCTTGCCGCCCGGTTGCAAGCTCCTGGAGCTGAAACTCCCGCTTGCCTAAAGCAGAGAATTTGGGTGGGCTTTGGGATTTATGGGGTGTGGGGTTTGGGGTTCATCGGGTTTGGGGTTTGGGGTTTGGGATTCATCGGGTTTAGGGTTGAGGGTTTAGGACTCCTAAGGCTTAGGCTTTAGGTTTAGGATTCACAAGGCTTTGACTTTGGGGTTTAGGACTCATAAGGCTTAGGTTGTAGGGTTTAGGACTCATAAGGCTTAGGCTTTAGGGTTTAGGATTCACAAGGCTTTGAGTTTGGGGTTTAGGATTCACAAGGCTTTGACTTTGAGGTTTAGGACTCATAAGGCTTAGGTTGTAGGGTTTAGGACTCATAAGGCTTAGGCTTTTAGGGTTTAGGATTCACAAGGCTTTGAGTTTGGGGTTTAGGACTCATAAGGCTTAGGTTGTAGGGTTTAGGACTCATAAGGCTTAGGCTTTAGGGCTTAGGACTCATATGGCTTAGGGTTTAGAGTTTAGGACTCATAAGGCCTAGGGTTTAGGGTTTAGGACTCATAAGGCTTAGGGTTAAGGTCTAGTAGTATACATAAAGGGCGATGCTTGGTAGGATGTTTTTGAGTACGCCAAGTCTATTTGGGCATAGGGCTTGAGCTTATTATCGCGGGGGTTTATATTATGCAGGGAGTCTAGGGTTTTTACAGGTGGTGACACGTTGATGCTGCAACCTTGGCTTCCAAGTCCATGCAGGGATTAGTACCCCAGGCAACTTCAAGGGCACGCGCTGAAGTAGGGGGTTTGGGGTTCAGGAAGAGCTTCAAGGTGATGGTTTAGGTTTTACTGTAGGGTTTATGAACACCGGTGCTTGCTTTTGCACCTCAGCCTGACGTCCATCAGTCAAGCGGGCCAGGACCATGGTGGTGCAACCGTCGGCCGCTCGACCTACCCCCACCCAGACCCCACGAGTCCAAAGTACATTGTTACATAGAAGCAGGTGCTCAAGTCTCGGATTGTAGTAGACTGCTAGGTACATTTGGCCCCTAGGGAGTCAGCTTGAAGACAGCAAGCACGGGAAAGTGATCGCTGCTATAGTCTCTGTCTCTAATTTCTGCGACAACGACTGCTTCTGGAGACAAAGCCTGTTCCTGCACTGCCGGCTTTACCAGAATCCAATCCA